TTGTGGAATATTTGTTTAACTGTGCAAAGATGTATTGCATTTGTTTATGTTGTGGAATATTTGTTTAACCATAAAGATGTGCTGAACTTATTTACTATGGAAAGATGTATTGTTTTTCTACCTTGAACAGCCAACAGTGAGGGAGGAGGTATAGGCAGGACTTCTGGGCAGGGAGAATAAGGAGGAGGGAGAATTTAGGCTCAGAGGAGAAAGAAAAAGAGAAATCAGAGAGATGCCAGGGCCAGCTAGCCAGTGGCAGAGCAAGCAGGTAAGTAGTACGTATAGAATGATAAAAGGCAAAAAGCCCCAAGGCAAAATGTAGGTGAAGAGAAGCTGATGTGGATTCTCCTCTGTATGCTGTGAATCCCTTTGCCATCAGAGTACTGAGACAACGGCCTCTAGAAATTGACTTTCCTGCAGGAATCTTAGAACTGGAAGACGGACAAGGACTGAAGCCAGAGTAGGCGCTTGTCACTCAGAGAGAGAGATTTCACACAGTTCTGACAGCCTGTCAGATCTGAGAGACTGGAGCTAAGACATTGAAGGGTCGATGATGGACCGACCACACCTTCGCCAGGGATGCTTAGCTTTTGCCCCCTCCTGAGCCATAAACGTCATGTCTGTTCCCTGAAAGACGAACTTGGGGACTGTTGGACTTCATGGCTTTATTCCACACTGAATACATCTCCTTTGTCTGCTCTTCACTCCTACTTGTCTTTGTAGTTGGCATCCTGAGGACAGTGGCCAGTTCTGGCTGTTAGGGAAGCCAGAGCCCAGACTGGGATTCTAACCACGCTCAGAAGACAGACATGTTTCCAGCTGTCACCGAGTTCTGCAGCTGGTGTATGAGGACATGTGTTCCTAGTCTGGTCCTGTCTTCCTTGTGGCTGTAATAGTCTCATTAACCCTTTCAACTCAGAGAGCTCTCTGTCTCTAGACCTTTGCTTTAACAACACGCTAGGGTTTGCTCCTCCCGCACTTGCTTCTTGTCATTCCCCCTCAAAGCCTGTGCGACTGTCTTCGTCCTTTTTCTATTGCTGTATAAGACACTATGAGGCAACTTACAGAAGGATGAGTTTACTGGAGGCTGGCAGTTTCAGAGGGCGAGTCCATGATCATCATGGCAGGGAGCGTGGCGACAGGCAATCAAAGCTGAGAACTTCTCTCTTGAGGCAGAGAGAGAGAGAGCCAACTGGGAATGACATGGGCTTTTGAAACCTCAAAGCCCACCACCAGTGACACATTTCCCCAACAAGGCCACACCTCCTAACCCTTCCCAAAGAATTCCACCAGCTGGGGACTACGCATTCAAATATGTGAGCCTGTGGGGCCATTCTTTCCCAAACCATCACAGCTCCCCTGCACATGGCTTTGTTGGGCCCGGCACATTAGAAGACAGCGCTTGAACAATAATCAGAGCCTTTGAGGACAATTCACTAGAAAGCCCTTAGGTCCACAGTCCCAGCGTGTGACAAGGATGGGGATGGGGACTGGTACGCACAGGGTAACTTGGATCAGCGATTACGGATGATTTGTGTGCGCCTCGCGGTGGTCAGAGCTTTCACAGTTTGCTCCACCCTTTCCTGGGATTGTGCTCTGGCTAACTTGCCACGGGGTACCAAACAACAAGCTTGCTCACTTCATGGACCATGAAAGGAAAACCGGCCCCCTGGGAGGTGAGCGCTACATAAGAAGACATCTATTAGAGGCATGGCAAGTGTTTGTGTTGGAGCAAAGTGGGTGGGAACTCATCTGCCCTGGCTCCCACCACCCTGTGCTGTTTCTGGAAGGCTCTGAGAGCTGACAGAATGAGGAGGGTCAGGCACGTGATGGAAGAGGAGCCCCATTCTCCAGTTCTGCTGGTGTCTGAAATTCGAGGTCCCCCCCCCCCGCCATTGCTGCAACCTGGGAAGACAGGGTAGTAGAGGCCCACTGCTGAAGTGGACCCTGTCCACAAATGCATGCAGTGTGTGGTGGGTGCTCTCAGGCCTCCCTAGCTGACCCTCACTGCAAGACTGGCAGGAAAATCTCAAAACTCCTTTCTAGAGGCCCTGAAACCGCTACTGGCTGTGGTTCTCTGCTACTCCTCTGATCGCCACTAGAGGGCAGACGTCAACAGCTCCAACGAAGGGATTTTGCCATCAGGACAACTCACACAACCCCAGTTTTCTTATCAAGGCTGAATGTGGTTCCAAGTAGGGACCACTACTTGACGTCAATGCCCCTCGTCTTACATTCAGTGGTCGTGTGAGTCGGTGAAAATGTTACAAGGTAAGGAACACTGAAGAGGAACAGAGGTGACCAAAAAAAGAACTGTAAGATGTGTTCGCGCATCCTTGCAAGGATAAAGCTTGAGAGGAAAGAGAAAGCCTGGAGCTGAGGCAGGGCCCAGCCTCTGGGCTGAAGGCTATAAATGGACAGGCAGAACCAGCTGGTCAGGGAAAGCCACATGGTTTCCGGAGCCAGGCTGCCCAGACTCAAATCCTGGCTCCCCCTGGTACCAGCTATGTGGATTTGGATGGGAACTGAAGCTCCCTGTCTCAGTGTCTTGTCTGTGAGACAGAGACGGTAATAGTAGCGTCTCCTGCCCTAGATGTGATGCTAACTGGGTCAGCTCATCCGAATCACTTAGGATCATTCCTGGCACAGAGTAATAGCGTAGGGATTGCCAGTGCTTAGTATCTTCTGACCTTGATTTTAGAAAAAAAGGGCAAAATGTGATTCGGTCATTGATTTCCGAGGAAGACATTTATATGGGGTTGAGCTAGCTACCATCCTTTCTCCATGCATTCAGGCAACAGGCGTGTGATGAGTAACACTGAACGGGTTCTCTGCAACCTCTGAGTGAGAACATGAGCCAAGTGGGCTCTGCTTGTGAGGAAGTCAGCCATCTGCTCAGAGGCCTTGGCTCTCAGTCTTTTGCTCCTGAAGTGAGGCCTTGGAATTTAATGGCCCCTTCCTTCCCCCTCAAACTGAGACTTGGGTTTGACCCTCCTCACCCTGACTCCTGCTCAGCTTGGTCCCCAGGGTTCCAGAGCCCTGTGGTGTGGAAGAAATTGCTCTTCGTTTCTTCCTGCTTGCCTCTCAGTTGCCAGGAGACAGTGGCTTTCCCCCCTTTTCTTTTTTTTTTATTTTTTATTTTTTTTTAAGATTTATTTATTTAGTATGTATATAACATTCTGCCTCCACATATGCCTGCATGTCAGAGGAGGGCGCCAGGTCTTATTACAGATGGTTGTGAGCCATCATGTGGTTGCTGGGAATTGAACTCAGAACCTCTGGAAGAGCAGCCAATGCTCTTAACCACTGAGCCATCTCTCCAGCGCCCCCCCTGCTTTCCTTTGTCAAAGGAATTTCAGATCTTCAGTCCTGTTTGCCAAGGCCAGTTTGGGTTCTAAAATGGGAGGACATGGCAGCACCCTGCTGGTGTACCAGTTCTAGCTGGCACAGTGAAGCATGGGTGCCCTTAGCTTTCTGGGGCCTTGAGTTCCTTTATCTCCAATTCTAGAGAGGAATCAGGGGACACATTTCCTCCCTTCATGAAGTATTTTATTTAATTTTTAAATTTTTATTGTTTGTTTTAAGACAGGGTCTAACTATGTAGTCCTGGCTAGCCTGGAACTTTCTTTTTTCTAGTAATTTTTTTAGTACTTTAAAAATAATACCATTCAAAATTTCCACTTCCTCCCCTCCTCCCACTTCCCTCCTGCTCCCCCACTCACCCTCCCCCCTCCCCCCAGTCCTAAGAGAGGGAAGGGTACCTTGCCCTGTGGGACATCCAAGGCCCTCCCCACTCTATCCATAGCCTGGAACTTTCTATGTAAACCAGACTGGTCTCAAACTCATAAAGATCTATAGTGATATTTTAATAAATAAAGCTTACCTGAAGATCAGAGGGCAAAACCAAGCCACTAGAGGCCAGGCTGTGGTATCACACACCTTTAATCCCAGCACTAAAGGGGAATATAAGATGGGAGGAGACAGAGGCTCAGTGCTCAGTCTGCAGTCGCCCAGACTTAGTAGAGGTAAGACTTCTCTAGCGGCTTGGCTGTTTTACTTTCCTGACCTTCAGCTAGAACTGCAATATCTGTCTCTGGGTTTTTATTATTCGTGCTACAGAGATCCACCTGCCTCTTTCTCTTAAGTGCTGAGACTAACAGCATACCACTGTGTGTGGTCTGTTTATTTTGAATTATGGATTTGTCTGTCTGTGCCTGGTGAAGCCAGAAGCATCAGGCCCACCTGGACCTGGATTGGTGGTTGTGAGCCACCCGATGTGTGTGCTGGGAACTGAACCTGGTGCTCAGCAAGAGCAACACGGGTTCTTAACCATGAGCCATCTCTCCAGCCCAATGCCTTTGTTCTTTGTTTTGTTTATGAATGTGCCCTCACTTTATGAATCAACAAATATGATTCTGCATGTGATATGGTAGCACACACCCACAATTCCAGCCCTCAGTATGTGTAGACAAGAAGTTCAGGAGCACACAGTCATCTTAGGCTATATAATATGTTCAAGGATAGCCTGAGCACGTAAGACGGTTTCAAAAAAGAAAAGAATTGAATGTGGTGGTCCACACCTCTAATCCCAGGATTTGAGAGGCAGAGCTAAGATCTCTGTGATTTTGAGGTTAACCCAGTTTACATAGCAGATTCCAGGACTACATAGAAACCCTGCCTTTAAAAAAAAAGAGTTGTATTTTGCTCTAGCATGGTGGCACACATCTGAAATCCTTCCAGTTGAGAGGTGGAGATGGGAGGATTGACAGTTCAAGGCCAGTCGGAGCTAATAATGAAGTCTTAGTTAAGAGGCACACCGGCACTCAGAGTTTGCCTTGTTAGCCACTAGGTGGTGCTCTCTCAGATAACCGCCTGCAGTGTCGCAAGTGCAGTCTGTGCTTAGCGGTAGCCTTACTTAGTCCCGAGGTAAAGGTGCAGACCTGCTTTCCGTGCGTAAGAATTAAACCTAGCAAGAGAATTAGGATTGAAGGTGACCATTTAAAGGCACCCGGAATTCCGGACTATGCGGCTTCCTAGTGTGTGACCTGAGATACGGTAACTTCCCTCTCCCAGAAAAGTCGTGACCATGGCTGTGCGGAGCAGGATTGGAGTATTGGGCCAGGTTTGGTTCCAGTAACCTGGGCTCTATGTGGGCTCTCGGGGTGGGTGCAGCGTGAGCTCGATCCTCCGCGCCGGTTGGCGGCGCTCGCGGGCTTGGCGGGGGCGCACAGGCGGCGGTGCTCCGCCCCGCTCCTCTCGGTGTCCGTGGGGCGGGGAC